GACCAATGTTTGTAAATATCCTAATATGGCACTCTGAATGAACATGTACAAAAAATTGGAAGTAAATACTAACAGAGCTGAGAGATCCTTAATCCCTGCGTGTACAGAGCTTCAGATTTTCATCACGGACTTGCAGTTTATTTGTGATAAAATGTTTTTGTATCTAAACCATAAAAACAATTAATAATGCAAAATAGTCATGTTCTGTTCTTGGTTGAAATGCAGTTAATTTTGAACCATGTTTTTTCACAAGAAATATTTCCCTTTTGCAACTCACTACAAGGACTTTCTTTTATAGTTGTGTGATGAAATCCTGATCCCATGTACTTTAACAATTGTGTGCCTAAGTCAATGAGAACACCTTGTTTAAGTTACTACTATTTGTGACCATTCTGGGTCAAAAAACAGTACTTTGAGTATCACTGACTGAAAAAAACAGATGATTTCCTGAGATAGAGCCTGCACATAGCAAGTACTTGGTTAGTGTGACCTAATTTATAGGAAATTCAGTTTAATTTTAAAAATAGCTTGTCCTGCATATTATAGAATCATAGAAAAATAGGGTTGGAAGGGACGTCAGGAGGTCATCTAGTCCAACCCCCAGTGCAAAGCAGGACCAGCCCCAAATAGATTGTCCCAGCCAAGGCTTTGTCTAGCTAGGTTTTGAAAACTTCCAACGATGGAGATTGCACCATCTCTCTGGGTAACCTGTTCTAGTGTTTTGCTACCCTCCTAGTGAGAAAATTCTTCCTAATATCTCACCGAAACTTCCCTTGCTGCAACTTGAGCCCATTGCTCCTTGTTCTGTCATCTGCCTCCACTGAGAACAGTCCAGCTCCATCCTCTTTCAAGTTGCCCTTCAGGTAGATGAAGCCTACTATTATATCCCCTCTCAGTCTCCTCTTCTCTAGACTAAATCAGCCCTGTCCCTTCAGTCTTTCCTTATAAGTCATGTTCCCCAGCCTGCTCACCATTGTTGTCATCTGTCAGCTGGACTCTTCAGTTTCTCCACATCCTTGTTATAGTGGAGGGCCCAAAACTGGACACAGTACTCCAGATATGCCCCCACCATGGCTGAATAGAGGGTAATAACCACTTCCCTTGACCTTCAAACAACACATCTACCAACGCAGCCCAGGATGCCATTAGGCTTCTTGGTAACAAGGGCACACTGCTGGCTTATATTCAGTTTATTGTTCACTGTAACCCCAGGTCCTTTTCTGCAGAGCTGCTGCCCAGCCAGTCAGCCCCCAGCCTGTACTGGTGCATGGGATTGTTCTGTCCTAAGTGCAGGACTTTGTACTTGTCCTTGTTGAACTTCATGAGATTTCTTTTGGCCCAGTCCTCCAATTTGTCTAGGTCACTCTGAATCCTAGTCCTAACCTCTGGCATATTTGATACTCCTTTCACAACTTGTGTCATCTGCAAACTTGCTGAGGGTGCCCTCTATACCATCTTCCAGGTCATTGATGAAGACACTGAACAAAACTAGCCCTACAACTGACCCCTGGGGCACTCCACTTGATACTGGCTGCCAACTAGGTATCAAGCCATACATTACTACCCTCTGAGCCTGATGCTGTTTCCAGTTTTCTATCCGCCTTACAGTCCATTCATCCAGCCGGTACTTTGCCTGGGAAAATAAGAGAGACTGAATCAAAAGCCTAGCTAAAATCAAGGTACACCACATCCACTGGTATCCTTGCATCTGTGGAGCCAGTTATCTCATCATAGAAGGCAGATCAAATTTTGTCCTTGCTAGTCAGGAAAATTTGTTGTGATCAACTTTTGTTGGTATAAAGTTGGGGTGTCAGAGATGTGGCCCACAGAGCCACATTATCCCATCCTTGATGTTGGCCTTAGGTTGTGGATTGACCCATGTGCTGCTTGCAGTGTGCACTGGATCAGTCCCATGTTCAGGTCCCAGGACACACACCACAGGGCCATTTCAGGGCCCTCCACATGCATGCCAGATACAGTGTCTGCAGCACCTGCTCTGACCAATCCACATCGAGTTGCACATGGCGCCAGTCCAGCTGGTCTGCGGTGGATGCTGCATATAGTGTGGGTCCCAGAATGGGGGCTATGTGTAGCACGGTCCCAGGCTGGCCAGGATCCGGCATGCAGGAGGTCCATGGGTCCCCCTCATGCTGAATCCAGCCAGAGTGGACATTGTGTCAGGCACTGCAAGTGCTGGATCCAGCACTGGGGGACAGGGAGGAGGTCCGTGGTCCTAGTCTAGTCTACAGGGCTGGTCCTGTGCTATCCATCCAGCCCACAGCGCTAGATGAGCTTGACATCTCTCGCATAAAGAGTATAAACACCTTCCTCATACATGCACAGTATTTTAAATCCATGTCAAACAAAAATTGTGTACCTTGGTGAGAGCCTTGCTCACTGGCCCCAATCCTACAAATATCTATACATGTGCTTAACTTTACACAAGTATGTTCTTAAGACTGGCCTATCTGGTAAGCACTGACACTGGTTGCAAGCTAATATTTTTTTTTAAAGCATCACTTTCTTAAGAAACATGTAGTTAACTTTAACTGGAACTAGAAATTGTTAAATAGCAATCTTATATATAAGAATTATATATAGATAAAACATATAAGAGAAAACAAAATGTATTTAATGTATCTGCTCAGCTAATCTAGGAAATTAACCTATGTTTCAATTTCCAATTAAAATTCATATTTCATTTGCAGAGATAACTTTTTCCATTAGCTGTGTGATAAGAAACACAGCTGCAAAAATACTCCCTTTTTAAATAATTCCAGCTACAGGATTTCTGGCCTGTTTGCTATTAGAATGGCATTTGCAAGAGCATCAACATTGCAAATGGTAACAAATTCACACTATTCACATAAAACCTTTCTGAATCAATTAAGCAATTGCTTGCATTAATATCTGGCTGTGGGAAAAATAGGAAAAGCTAATTTGCCATGCATCACATAAACATTTTCAAGTAAATTATTTCCAGATAGAGTTGGCATTTTTACCGTCCGTGACAGGTGTGGATTTTCTCAATTCTAATATATCATTGTCATGCATACCTACAGCAATTTAAGGCTTCACTTGCTTTGCATTAGATAAGTTGTTGCATTTCCTGCTGATTGGGGAAGGAAATTTCAGTTTGTCTTGCTAATGAATTCTACAATAGAAAAATAAGTGGTTGACTGTTTGCAAAGCAGCATCCCCCTACCTTTGAACAGCTTCTCTTACTTTTTAAAAACAGTCTGTCCAGCTATTGTCTTGACCTAAAATTCCAATGTTTGTTATACATACATACATAAGCCCATTTTTGCCACGAATTGCAGCTGTCAGTTGCATCAGATTCAGGGAAGAATATGAGCTACCTTAGGTGTATCCCATGTCATTTAATGCTTGTTACCTCCACGAGGTACGGTATCTTTGTATTTCAAGACAGGGCTGCATGAACATGCAGCCCTGATGAGATAAATGTCTTCAGTTCTGTGTAAAGCGCCATACTGCTTGAAGTGCCTGTCTAGAGATGATTATGGAGACAACAACAAAGAAAGAAAAGGAACAGGATTTTTCATGCAGCAGGCTCCAGCTCTGAGACAAGGTAAGATTCAGTCCCTTGCCTGGCAAGTTCTTGTGCTATAGTAGCCTGATTGACACTGAATGTTTCAGTGTAGATTCAAGCTCTTGTGTCCAGTTGCGCTGTTCTGGGAGATGACTCTAAGTGTGGGAGAGATATATAGCTCTAGTTCTAATTCTGTAATATCTGATTTCGATGGATTGGGCCTCCCTCCCCACCCCTCCAACCCCAAGCCAGCAACTACTCTAAGCTTCTATTATGCTATTCCATCGTTTCCCCTTCCCTCTTATGCAAGATATGTCAGCATTTACCAATAATTACTACATGCTAGTATCTAAAATTACTACATATATCTCTTGAACCCAACAGGTATGAGTTTGTTAGAGTAAATATTGGCATAGGCAGATTCTCTAAAGCTTCTACAGTGCACAGGACTTACGTGACTGATCTGCAGGGCTAAAAAAAACCCTCCTCTAAGGTTTCTGATACCACAGGTGACACATGAGTGGTGGGTAAGGATTTTAGCTGAAATATTGAAACTGTGGATAATACATGCTATAGTTAAAGAGAAAAGCCTTATTGCATTGCTCAGTGCTCCTGGGGTTGGTTTTGTTCAATGTCTTCATCAATGACCTGGAAGATGGGGTGGAGTGCACCCTCAGCAAGTTTGCAGATGACACCAGGCTGCAGGGAGTAGTAGATACACTGGAGGGTAGGGCTAGGATTCAGAGTGATCTGGACAAATTGGAGGACTGGGCCAAAAGAAATCTCATGAGGTTCAACAAGGACAAGCGCAAAGTCCTGCACTTAAGACGGAGCAAGCCCATGCACCAGTACAGGCTGGGGGTGACTGGCTGGGCAGCAGTTCTGCAGAGAAGGACCTGAAGGTCACAGTGGACAATAAGCTGAATATGAGCCAGCTGTGTGCCCTTGTTGGCAAGAAGGCTATCAGCATCCTCGGCTGCATTGGTGGGTGTGTTGGCAGTAGGTCAAGGGAAGTCATTATTCCCCTCTATTCAGCACTGGTGAGGCCACATCTGGAGTCCTGTATCCAGTTTTGGGACCCCCCCCCCCAACAGAAAGGATGGGGACAAATTGGAAAGAGTCCAGCAGAGGGTGACAAAAATGGTGAACGGGCTGGGGGACATGACTTGTGAGGAAAGACTGGGAGAACTGCGTTTATTTAGTTTAGAGAAGAGGAGACTGAGAGGAGATTAAATAGCAGCCTTCAACTACCTGAATGTGGGTTTGAAAGAGGATAGAGCTGGACTGTTCTCAGTGGTGGCAGATGACAGAACAAAGTTCGGTTCTGTCATGCTTTCAAGCCACAGTAAGTTTGGGTTAGATATAAGGAAAAATTTTCTCACTAGGAGGGTAGTTAAACACTGGAACAGGTTACCCAGAGAGGTCGTGAAATCTCCATCTTTGGAGGTTTTTAAGACCTGGCTAGACAAAGCCTTGGCTGGGATGATCTAGGTGGGGCTGGTCCTGCTTTGAGCAGGGGTTTGGGACTAAATGTGACCTCCTGAGGTCCCTTCCAACCCTCATGATTCTAAGTGCCAGTGTCCTGATCCTGACTTCCTTGATTGCACAAAAGTTCCACTGATTTTTTTTTGTTCCTAAAACATACAGAGACTG